AGAAACTTGTTTGCTTTCTCCTTGGTTTTCATTTATCATGGCTTTTGCATCTCCAGCAACTCTACTCTCTTTTTGATCCTGTACACGGTGCTAAAAAAATCCAGCAGCAGAACCTTACTTCTCAGGAAATTGATGTGCTTGAACAAAATTTCCTCGCTTACTTGTTTCAGGTACTTACTTCGTTAGCTTATCTCGTCCATATGTTATCTATGTATCTCTGTCTTCTTGAATGTCTTCTTTTTCCTTCACAAAGGTTATGGAGAAGAGCAACTTTAAAATAACAACTGATGACGAGATCGAGGTTGCACACTCTGGCCAGTATCTTCTTAATCTTCCCATCAAAGTTGATGAGTCAAAGGTTTAAACAAAAAGCACTTAGTCACTAACGTTTTTTATCATCCCATGATGCCACAGACTTGTGCGATTTCAGGATTTTTCTTTAACAGTTTTCTTCCTTTGGTGGATATAGCTTGACAAGAAGCTACTCAAGAGATATTTTGAGGACCACCCACATGAAAATCTTCCAGACTTTTCTGATAATGTACAGTTTGAGTTTGGAAATAAACATTTCAATATTATTGTTTCCTTCTACTTTCTTGATGGCTGTGGAACGACATGTACCTGACCTGGTGAGACAGCTAATTGTATTTTCCCCATTTTTGTAGTATGTCATCTTCAGACGTGGTATTGGAATGGATAAAACCACAGATTACTTTTTCATGGAGAAATTGGATGTGATCATTTCACGTTTTTGGTCCTATCTTCTGAGAGTCACCAGGTAAGCACAAGTTTCCCAGTGTAGTCTTTCTTAAAGTTCATAGTGGTATGCATTTGATTACGTTTTGGTTCTTAACATCCTTCTTTTCGTCAATGTTTACCACCGCAATGGATCAAAGGTTAGAGAAGTTACGTGCTAATAGGTCAAGCAGACTTCCCAAGAAAGATCCAAAAAAAGATGATGAGACAAACCCTGAAGCAGATAATGAGGACTTGTATGTGGAACGCATTCGCCTTGAGAATACACAATTGAGGTTGTCCTCAGTATCCCTCGCTTGTTGTGATTTGCTTTCAGCCCAACTTTGGCTATTCTGGAAAACTGTATATATTTAATGGCTTTTCTCTTGATGAGTACAGCTTTAAGAGTTTCTTGAGTAAGCTTACAATACAGGAGCCTACATTTGATAGAATGATTGTCGTGTATAGGTAATGTTTATGTATGTCGTGTTTCAGCTATTTGTTCCTTATTGAACTTGTGGTTCAAGCATGTGGTTGATGTTGTCACAGGCGAGCTAGCTCGAAAACAAATCAAGAACGAGGAATTTATGTCAAGCATTTCAAAAACATTCCTATGGCAGACATGGAGATTGTGCTTGTTAGTTTCTGTTCTTGCCTTCTTTCTCTTTGAACGCTGAATGTTGTAGCAAAAATGGCAAAGTAGCTGCAGTAACATTAACATCTTGTGCAGCCTGAGAAAAGGAACCCTGGCCTGACTCCAATGGATTGGGTCAAATTTCTGATATCTGCCGTAGTTGGTCTGGTTGGTCTCCTTGGCAGACTCTTTTATGTTTCTTCGGTTCATGTTTTATGTGCCTATCTTGATTATCATATGACTTTCTCTACAGGTTGCCGTGCTTACTTCAGTTGAGATGCCGAAAGCAGATCCATGGGTAATTATTGCCATTCTCTCCACAGTGGTTGGTTATTGTGCGAAGACATACTTCACGTTAAGTGCTTTATTTTTTCCCCTACCTTCATTGTTCTTTGTTAAGCGAATAGTTACTTATCACAAGTTGTTTTACTTCAGGTTCCAGCAGAACATGGCGACGTACCAGAACTTGATAACGCAGTCAATGTATGATAAACAATTAGACAGCGGGAGGGGAACGCTACTACACTTGTGTGATGACGTAATTCAGCAAGAAGTAAGTTCCTGCATGAATCTAGTGTATATCACATGAGTGTGAAATAATGCCTTTGGAATAGAAACAAAAGGCTCATTTGGGTTGCATGTGTAGGTAAAAGAGGTGATGATTTCCTTCTACATACTCATGGAGCAGGGGAAAGCTACCTTGGAGGTACATAACACTAAATTTACTCTAATTATTGTCTGTTATCATCAACGAGTGCTGACTTGAGTTGGTTGGAATGTGTGGGAAATAGGATCTGGATCTGAGGTGCGAGGAGCTGATAAAGGAAGAGTTTGGTGAGAGGTGTAACTTTGACGTAGACGATGCAGTCCAGAAGCTAGAGAAGTTGGGGATCGTTGCCCGGGATACCATTGGAAGGTATTACTGCATGGGGCTGAAGCGAGCCAACGAGATCATAGGGACCACCACGGAGGAGCTTGTCTTAAAGGCCAAACAAGGCGTCACCCCTTCTTGAATTTACCTTCTCTTCTTGTCAGCATTTGTTCTCCTTCTCATTTCACTAAAACTCTAAGTTACTGTTTGTGGTCGGTTGTTACTAAATCCAAGTGCAACAAATCAAATTACTGAAAGAATTTTCTGATATGATGATTGAACCAATACAACATCCAATATTGAACTACTGCCCAAGGCAGACAAGTCTATGGATTTTTTTTAAGGAACAACACAAAAAGTCTATTCCTAGCTCTAGCTTGGCGGATATGTATATATATCACATGACATGGGTCCTGTTGTCCTCTCCATAAGCTCAGGTTCAGCTACTGGAAGAACCAAAAAACAAATAGATATAGACAGATGAAGTCAAAAATCCCAAAAACCAAAAGCAAATAGACTGTGTTGCCTCCCCAACTCTCGAATAGTCGATTAGACATTCAGCATCAACTTCATCAGATTGACACAGAGGCATATGCACTTGGAATCCAGCAATATGAGGACAACAAGCACACCATAACAAGACACTCATGTAGTCCAATCATGCAGATATATGATTTTGCAAAAAGCACTGACCTTGTACATGTTGATTTGTTCCCTCTACAGATTATTACCATGGCTGCCCAGTGTAAAAGTTAGGTAGTCACCAACTAACAAGATTGGATAAACTGATAGAAAATGTTGAGGAGCTTACATTCGGGGAAGATGGATCTCTTGAAGGAGCAACGATCTAGCTTTGTTAACGTTGGTAAACCAAAGGCAAATATGATCCTCAAGATCCTTGAGTTGATGGGTGAGGTTAAGGTGGCTCTTGCGAAGCTGTTTCACAATCTCCTGAACTGAATACACGTCCCTCCCCCTCTCCAATCCAAGCCGAATGAAGAGCTTGTCGTATTCAATCCCAGTGTGCAGGCGGGAGACAAGACGGTCAATGGTGTCGAGATCCTTGTTGAGCACAAAAGTTCCCTTGGCAGCAGCATTGAGCTGAGAAATGTTAGTTAACTCCTTCTTCTTGAAACTGTGAGGGAGGTAGGGACTGCACAAGGGACCTGCAAGAACAAGGGTGGGAAGTGCATGAGTGGCAATCAGAGCCGCAGAAGCAACAACTCCAACAACAGTAGCAACAAGACATAAGGCAGAACCAGCTGTGGCACGGTGGAGGAGGCGGACCCGTGACCTCGACTTACGGAGACGGCTGTCCAGCTTGTGCTTGAGCTGGGAGAAGCATAATTGAGTGTCTCGAAAGCCGTGAGAGTCGGGAGATGAGAAAGGGTTTTCAAAGGTGTCGAGCTCAAGGAAAACGTCGAATGCCAAGTTACAGAGGGAGTCGTCAATGGCGTGGGAATCACCGGGAAGAATGTGGAAGAGGTCAAAGAGAGGTGTGTAGAGGTGGCGAGCAGTGTGGACGCTTTGGTAGAGATTCAAGCAAAGGCGGGTGGCGTTTTCGCTGTGTTGGAAGTAAGTGGAGATGAGATGGGTGAGTGTAGTTGGCTTGGCGTGGCTAAGAGCTTCTTGGACGCATTCCCTGTTCGGTTGGAGCACCTGAGAGAGAAGCAGCTCGATGTCCGGCTGGATGTGCAGATGATGTTGGGCGGGGTCAACCACGTGAACCCGTGAACGTATGTCGTGGTAGGAGGGGGTTTGAAAAGCGTGAGCCAACTCGCGGCTGAGATTAAAGGTGGGCGACGGATTCGAAACGTTTCTGGAAGTGGAGGCCACGCCCTCTGTGGATTACAACAGAGCCAAAGACCAACTGGCATTTCAACAAACACATGGTGGGCGGTTTCGGAATGAAACAAAGTAAAGAGACACGCTTACCTAAGGAAGGATTGGGAATAGGGTCGTCCCCGAGAGAGGCCTGCGGAGAGGCTGGGTTGAAGGAGAGACAATGCGGCATCTAGAAGATTGAAATCGATTCATGAATGCGAAGCTAGCTAGTGTTGAGGATGGGCGCCGAGTTGGGTTGGTGATCTGAGAAAGATGCACAGAGGAAGTTTAAAGATTGCATTTTACTTGTGCCTATACTTTCATATCTAAAACATTACTTGGCCATAACTTCAATACTCATTTTACATGCCTAGAGGCAGAGGAAGTGAAGCGTGGAGGAAGCGCCCTCTGGTGAAAAAAGAAAGAAAAACATGGGAGTATACACAATAAAAATATATGGAAAAAACAATAAAAAGAAAAATTGAAACTCTCATTAGTGGTTAGTTTGTTTTCAAATGTGAAAATTTAATTGAATTATTAAACTTTATCAAGATATGAATTAGAAATTCATGTTAGAAACTCGCTCTCACAAATCATTGATTGTATTTTTTATATGTAAAATATAGTCAAACCGATGAAAAAATCATTCATGTGATTTTGATATCAGAATGTAAATTTTGGATACAGCACCATCCAAATAAATTTTGAAAGTATATAAGAAAATAAAGATTGAGATCACACTCGCAGAAACATAGGATAATTAATTAATTCAACATGTGATTCCAATTATCTATATAACTGTGGATTGGTTGGTGTTCAAACGGGAACACTGCGTAAGACTACGGTCTCTACGGTGAGACCTGGTCCAAAGCCAAATAAGACACCCCACTCCAACCCCTCTCCCGTTGTCGTGGCACCATCTTCCGCTGACTTCCTCCTCATCTCGTCCAGTATGAAGAGGACGCATGCGCTTGACATGTTGCCGTACTCGCTCAACACGTGGCGCGTCGCTCTCATCTTCTCTGCCTTGAGTCCCAACTTCAGCTCCACCTGATCCAGGATCGCCGGACCTCCCGGGTGGGCTATCCAAAAGAGAGAGTTCCAGTCGCTTATTCCCAACGGTTTAAACGCTTCTTCTAGACTCTTCTCGATGTTCTTCGAGATGAGCCCGGGGACGTCTTTTAGCAGGTGGAATGTGAGCCCAACCTCCCTCAGGTGTCCGTCTATGGCTCCGTCCGAGTCAGGGAGGATGGTTTGCGCTGCAGATACCATCTCGTAGATGGGTTTCTCTCCTGCGGAAGTGTCCGGGTCTGAACCCACGATGAGTGCTGCTGCGCCGTCACTGAAGAGGGCCTGTCCGACGAGGGAGTCGAGGTGGGTGTCAGAGGGGCCACGGAAAGTGACTGCCGTGATCTCAGAGCAGACAACGAGGACACGGGCGCCGCGGTTGTTCTCAGCAAGGTCCTTTGCGAGACGGAGGACAGTGCCGCCGGCGAAGCAACCCTGTTGGTACATCATGAGACGCTTAACCGAGGGGCGAAGGCCGAGGAGCTTGGTGAGCTGGTAGTCGGCGCCAGGCATGTCGACGCCGGAGGTGGTGCAGAAGACCACGTGTGTTATCTTTGACTTGGGCTGACCCCACTCCTTGATGGCCCTCATTGCCGCCTCTTTCCCCAGCTTAGGGACCTCCACCACCACAATGTCCTGCCGAGCGTCCAGGGAAGGAGCCATGTAGGCGCACATCTTTGGGTTCTCCTTGAGGAACTCCTCCGTCAGGTGCATGTGCCGTTTCCTAATCATCGACTTGTCACCTGCAGTTATAGTAATAGAGAAAGTTCATGTTAACTAACAACGTATGTGTGCAAAGAAATAAGATAAAGTGAGCTAGTAGTAGTCCAAAGAGACTTACACATGCGCTTAAACTTCTCCTTGAGGTCGGTCATGTGGTCACTATTGGTCATGCGAAAGTAGTAGTCCGGATACTCCGCCTGGATCACATGGTTCACAGGGTTGGCCGTGCCAATGCCCAAGATGCCTGCTGGGCCATCGGCTCTTTGTGCCTTTCTGATCTCTTCCAACGACGAACCCATCTAGAATTCTAGTATAATTCAAGAGGTTGCAAGTGTGTTGAGTTAATTAGAGAGAGGGAATCGTAATTTATAGTATAAAGAATTGGCAAAGCGGGTGAGTAGGTTAGATGGACGGGCAGCCGAAGACCACGTGTCCCTCTTTGTCTGCTACTTACCAAAAGTTCAATTGCATCCATCTCTTAATTCCCTTCCATAGAATAGAAATAGAATGGTTGTTTCCGTTTATGTAAGATATCTTTCATCATTTATTTCTCCTACTCTAGTCAATGTTACATATAACATTCAAAGGCGTGTTAGCTAGAGAAATCCTCTTAGTACTGGCAAAATTTGTAGCTAGAGAATTATCATAGAGAGAAAGAACACTAATTTGTAGCCTAAACTGCCTTGGGGCTAAACGATCATTATGATAATTTATTAATTAACTAGTGTTTAGGACCGGAAAATAATACCATTTTATTAATATTTTTATAAAATATATATTTAAAATAATCACGAATTCTCCATGTAGGAAAAATTATGGTGAGATTTGAGAGACGATTAAGAAGAATTCAGGTTCCAAATAGTGTTCAATAGATTTTTGGTTTAATAGCAACTCGGTTAGAGAACAATATTTGAATGAATCCATCCATACAATATAATCCTTTGAATTAAATAATTTTGATAGGAAAATATGCTAAAGGAGTTGAAGGCATCAAAATATTTTTGCTTATTTGCTATTTTTTTTATTTGGTTAAAGTCTTACTTCATTCTAAACACGAAAAATAATGATGTTTAAATTCCGTAATAAAATATATTTTTTGAAACTTAAATATTTATAAAATCAGTAATAAAATATTGATGTGATAATCTCCCTAGTTATTATTCGATGGACTAAAAAGTTAGTAGTTTTTATCCAATTCTTTTTCTCTTGATCTCTTGCAAACAATTAATATATAGACTCCACCTTAAAAATAAGAGGAGCTACAAAGGATATACAGAGGTTGTAGAAGGAAAATTTTACATTTAGTATTCAAATACTCAATACAAAGAAAAGCTTAGATTAATATTCAAGGTTCTAAACAAACAAAAGTATAGGAGTGAAGTTGAGATATCATTAACGTATAGCATACCAAAGAGAAGCCATGAATACTCATATAACAATTCGTCAGAGATTGTATCCTTCACCAATAAGCTTAGTATGACTCTCCCGTGACAAAATGTATTTCACGGTTCCTAATGGTTTCATCTTGAACCTGTTTTAAAAAATGAGAAACTCCTTACCAAATTTGTGACGTATTCCACAACAATGTCTTCTACAAGCGCCACAGTCTCTGGAAGCGGCTAAAAGACAGAGGAGGCATCAATTTCAGTACTGTACCAAAACCGTAATAACTCTAGCAAGAACTCTACCAAAAAACGTTGAAGACCCTTCAAAGGAAAGACTCTCTACCTTTACTTATTACTCTTAGGCATCGAATGAAGAAAGCTTACGTTTGGCTCGTCACCAAATCCATACATCATATGCTGCACTGGAAACCATCAAAAGCAACAAACAAAAAACCATTGTTACCAGAATAAACAAAATGAATAAATCAAAAATACATGATTTCTCTGTTTTATAGCTAAAGAATATAATATCACTTACATTCTTTTTGAAACGCTTCTCCGGCGCCTGAGAAGCTCGCGAAGCTTTCCATTTAGACGGCGATGAACCCGCCGTTGATCCCTGTTTCTCAAACTTGATTTTTTCTTTCTATATGTCAGACACAATCTTGAAGGGTACAAACATGGATGTGTGTTCTAGAAAAATAAACCGATTTGAAATACAAATGTGAATGTAAGTTCAAACTGAATAACCAGAAGACAAAATGTCACAAAACTTAAGTGCAAAACATGCAACTATAGTAGGATAAGAACAATTGCTTGGTGGATATGTGAAATAAGAAGTGGTATTGAATAATCAGAGACGAATGGAAGAAGAGCAAAGAAATTAAAATACTCCATAAAATAAACAGCATACATCAACATAGAAAATAATCACGAAAAAGCCATTTGTCATGAATCTTTTGAAGTTTACCGGTTTCTGATAGACCTAAGATCGCGGTTGAGATGTCAACTGCTACTGGCGAGTCTCTCGGAAATGCCTTTAAACAAACAAAGAGACATTTGAAATGAAGTGTACTCACGAATCAAAGCCGAAGCAACAAAATAATCACGAAAAAGCCATCTCGTCAAACACTTAAATGCAATGAATATCAAAAGATATTTTATTTTTTCTATCCGAGGAGGAATTGCAGGAAAACGGAATCATAAAAGGAAGAGATGTCGATAAGTTTTGTATCAATTCATAGTAAAAACTATGCAATTGAAAGTGTCGAAAGGGATGAACAATCTTTTTACCTAGAGAAAAATTGCAGGAAAAGTGAATTAGAAGAACATGTCGATGCTTTTTGTAGGAGATGATTCAATTTCATTGTTGAAGAGGAGATGAGAAGTGAAAAATCAAGAGCTGAGTTTACTTCTCATCTCCTCTTCAACAATGAAATTGAATCATCTCCCATTGATCATGCTCTTAGGAGAATAAGAAGTTTTTTTTTTTGTTTTTCCTTCCTCGCGAAAGCTGAGTTTTGTGCCGAATTTGCAAGAAATAATTAATTCAAAGAAAATTAAACGAAAAAATTCTTCCGCTCAGATTTAGTTTGTAAATATTGAAAGAGCATTTTTTGGGAGTTTTGCCACGTGGCAATTCGGTTGAAGTGACTTGTGAATTATAATAAAATGATGATTAATTTAATAAGACCATGGAATGGAAGAGACAAAACTCTCCGCTCTGGTAATAACAATTTTAGAGATAAGATGATGTGGGTTGTGTTTAGCGTGGTGTGAGAAGAAGAGATCGACCCTGATTTGCTGAGATTCTTCAACGGCGATGGCGGAATCTGGAGTNTCCCCCACTCGGAATCCTTCTCAAGTTAGTTCCTTTCTGCCCATTTCTACAATTCATACCGTATGCTTCTTTCGGGACAAAAACCCTAAGAGTGTGTCTCCTTCCTTCTCCCGGGAGAGAAACTAACCACTCGACTTGGAACCTTTTGTCTTCAGAGTTTTAAGTATTATATTTCTTCATCTAATTTCCAACTAAGCTCTTGACTTCGTTGTGGTTTCTTTCTTCTTCTAAAAATTGATGATCCTTTGACTCTTCTTATGCTTGTCAATGATTACGGTATGCCCAGTTCGGGTTCTTCCTCCTACCTTTGTTTGTCTGCATCCATCGTTTCATTTCTCTCTTTTCCGTCATACTGAATTGTTATTATCCGTTCCTTCAGCTTTCGTGGGTGAGGAATTTGATTTTGGCCTACCAGAGCTTTGGTGTAGTCTACGGTGACATCAGCACATCCCCTCTCTATGTGTATCCTTGCACATTTATCGGCAAGTTGCACAAGCACCAGAACGAGGAAGCCGTATTTGGTGCATTCTCTTTGATTTTCTGGACCCTCACGTTGCTTCCCCTTCTCAAGTACTTTCTTGTATTATTGAGTGCCGATGACGATGGAGAAGGTGCAGCCTGTGTTCAACTTATATCTTTCCTCCGATCTGCCATTTTTAAGAGACTTGGGATGATAGGATCTTTTTGATTTTGCGTCCCCAGGCGGAACATTCGCTCTCTATTCGCTGCTTTGTAGGCATTCAAAGCTTAGTTTACTTCATAACCAACAAGCTGCTGATGAAGAGCTCTCAGCTTACAACTGTGGTCCATCCTCGGAAGCTGGAACTTCATCCCTCTTTAAAAGAATCCTTGAAAAGCACAAAAGGCTCAGGACCGCGTTGCTGGTTGTTGTACTTTTTGGAGCTGCTATGGTCATAGGAAACGGGGTTCTTACTCCAGCAATATCAGGTAAAGTACTCCTACCTCCTACATATTGTATTTAGAGTTGGAGTTGGTCAGTGTCATCGTCTGTTTCTTGTAGTTGAAACCACCTTCTCCGTGAGCATTCATCAGTATATTTTTGTTGGCAATATCTGACTGAGGATATAAATCACTCCTGCTTTCTTGTAGTTCTGTCGTCTCTGTCGGGTTTGCAAGCTACAGAGAAGAAGTTGACTGATGGTATATACCGCTGGTTGCTTCCACCATGTGTTTGTATCTGATTGTTGTTTGATTACATCTTGTAGAA